ATATATATATATATATATATATATATATATATAGGGTAACGCTATTCTAAGGGTGAGTGTAGAATAGCTTATTCTACACCCCCTAGTAACGTTATGTACAAAATCTAGTAAAACGGTGTATAAAATGTAGTAATTCAAAAAATATATTTTTTATCATCTAAGGTTGTAAATTACTATATTTTTACGAAAATTACTATATTTTACATGGTGTGTTACTGTATTTTATATGTACCGTTACTGGAGTGTAGGATAAGCTATTCTAGCTATTCTAGCTATTCTACACTCACTAGCGTTACTATATATATGAAATGGGTTAGTACTCCTAGGAGTACATACTCCCATCACTAAACTAGTTCTTTTCAGTTTAACTGAAATTAGATAATTAAGTACCGCCCAAGTCCATTTGAATGGATAAGGTGGACTTTGAAAATTAGTTCCTTGAAAATAGGGATTCTTGCTGCACATTGTTTGCCCAACTATTAATACCAGGCCGGCGGCTACTTGTACACGGTTCTAACCAACATGACTTACGACGGCATGGACGAGAGCTGGCAGCGTGCACCTCGTCCGCCGGCCGGCAGCCGGCGGCAACTCATCCATGGTGCTCGGCAACACATCTCCGACGACATGGACGAGACCCAGCAGCGTGCGCATCATCCGGCGACTGGCGGGCGGCGACAACTCGTCCTGCTTGGCGGCACCATCTATCACGGCAACGACGGAACCCGGCAGCGTGCGCGTCATTCGGCGACCGACGGCTACTCGTCCATGGTGCTCGCCAACATGGTCTCTGATGGCATCGACGAGATTCGGCAGCGGCCGCCTCGACCGGCTGCATGTCCAGGGATCCGTCTCAATAGCATAATGAGTTGATTCGTTTGTTGCATGTTGTTACACTACGTGGACTAGAGTAGTCCTGGTGCGCGGAGATTGTATGTGATTTTGTTAATTCTTTGAATTCGTATCCTTTTAATTCAACTTGTTCAGATCGCATTCGAGAGATGCCATGCGACCAGCGGTGGACGACGTTGACGGCATGCTGGCGAAGAGCTGACGACGGTTAGCCGGCAACACGCATGAAGCTGCACACCGATGTTCTGAACGAGCTTCCACTAACTCTCATGTCAATCAGGGTGGTGCATGGGCAGATGGGCTGGTGGCCAAGGTTTCAACCTGAAGCTCCGGCGGGCTAAAATACTTCATGCATGGCTAGTGATCCACCCATGGCGTGATACAATACATGCACATACTGATTTTTTTTGGCAGCGTATAATTTTTTGAATTGGACAGCATATACTACTTCATTTTAGATGAAATATGTACTCCATAAAAAAAAACTTCAGTATATACCATCTATTATTTCACTTGGATCTCAGATGGACATTTTTTTTCAAATAATTGGAAATAGCTGTAAACTCAGTATAAAAGGAGTAAATTCGTACTTTCGCCAGAAAAAAGAGTAAATACCTACTCGTTCATTCCGAGCTACCTGGCTAAAAAAAGGTACACACGCTCGAAAAAATGTATAGACCCAAAGGTTGAAAGTTGCATTTTTTATCAATAAAGTAGTATATACTCTTTTATTTTGAGGTAGTATATACTTTCCAATCTGTTCTAAAAGTAGTATATCAACCTTTTCATTGGAAAGGAGTATATACTCGCTCCAGTTGTAGTTGCCTGGCCGAAAAGTATAGTATATACATATACTCCAAGCTAGTAGCATATATACTACCATCCCGTAAAAATAATAGCATATATACTAGCACATATGCCATGTATGGCATATATATAGTGTTACTATACACACACACACACACACACAATCATAACCCTTGACAAGACGCATTGCTGCTGTCCTAGGGATCATCATGTGTTGTCTCTGTTTCTAGTCTCGCCACTTTCTTTTGTTTGTGGTGTGGTTACCCTCACAATCACGCACCCATAACTTTTCGGACTTTTCGGAAAGATCGGAATGGCAATACCATTGCCAAGAGAAAATAGATCAGATGCCATAATCTTGGAGTACCACAATTCATTGTATTACTGAAGAACATTGAGATCACTATTAATTTTGGGATACCACAATCATACATACGTGCAGATGGCAAAGTTAGAAATATTGCTCTAACCAAGTTTCAAGTGGCAAGATTAACTGTTATTTTAATTTTCTGAAAGAACTTGAGATGACTTCTCTGAACTCTTCTTGATCATCTACATCCATATATCAGGAACTCTCCCAAAAGCAAATACGCAATGAGCAATGGTAGCGAGGCAACATATCCATACTGACATTGGTGCAGACACATAATCTAGAGAGGATGCGGTGGACGGTAGTACCTGAACATGGGAATCATAGTCGAGAGGCTGCTGCACGATGACGCGCTCCAGGGCCTGGATGCGGAGCTCGTCGTCGGCGTCCCCTTCCTCGTCCGAGTCCGAGGAGTCGGAGCCCGTCTTCCGCGCCTCCTCCAGCGACGTCCGTGGGCTGCGCCGCCGTCACCTCCAACAGGTCCGATTCCATCGAGGGGCACGATGCGGGCGGGCACTGTTATTTGGGGGACCGGATCCTCCTCCCTCGGCTTCTTCCTACTGAGAACTTCACCATGGTCACCTGCTAGGCCAGGGGCGCGGCGGAGGAGTGGTAGAGGAGGGCGCGGC